AGGATGTTGACATTGGCCAGTCCATTAAGGATGGCCTCTTTAATAGATAGAAAGAGAGAGGAGGAGAAAGGAGCCAGTACCTAGACTAGCTTGGGTTTTGATTTCATTGAAGTCAGTGGCTCACTGCTCAATATAAACAGAAGTTAGCGTTGATCCCAATTCCTTGCACATCAGTCCTGGGCCAGGTTCCTGTGCAGCAGGTTAAGAGTGCCTGTGTTGCAGGACATGCTGTCTTTCAGACCAGACTTAAACCTGACTTTTGACCATTTCTGGGTGTTACAGATTCAATGGCTCTTTCTGCAAGAGGGAGTGGCATGAAGATGGAGATATTGAAGAACCAGAGGCATCAACATAAGAAAGCCCATAAACCACATGTTAAGGGTACTTATTGAACTGGGGGCTTTCCTAGCCTGGAGCTGCAATAAGGACCATACCCTAAATCACAGCGGGTGGTACTGTCCCAGTCCCTGAGTATGCCTATTGCAGCAAGGCAGCTCATGGAACAAGGCACTTAGTTTGAGTAAGGGTCAGAGATGATCTGCTCTCAGATGATTTGCTTAGGGTCACACAACAGATTCATGGAAGAGCCAGGACTAGGACCCAGACCACTTCTCTGGTATTAGACCTTGCCACTTCCACAGGGTTATTTGTTAGCCCAGGGGTTTTCAACCTTTCTGGATCAGTGTACCCCCAGTGGCTGGATGCAGAGTGGGCTGGGGGGTGGCACGCAGCTGAACGCAGAGCAGCGGCAGGTACCGCGTGCAAGCTTCCCCTGCGTCCGGCTGGGTGGGCGGCATCTGCGTGGCAGCTTGGGACGTTGCATGGTGGCACTCCATCCCTGCCCCCTGCACATACCCTCTCGGGCCTTTTCAAGTACCCCAGCTGACACCCCGTGTTAGCTAATAAGCCTGTTAATTCAGCTTCTTGGACTAATTTTCTTCCTCCCATCCTCATTTCATGTAAAATTATTGGATTCCTCTACCAGCTGACCAAATGTTTAATTTCATTTCTTTTTTCCACTTTACCATTCTAAGAAAATGAAAAAATGGAATATAGCAAAGTAGGGCTGGAAGGGACCTCTGGCAGTTGCATCTAGTCCAACCCTCTGCTCAAAGCAGGTCATCCCGGTCTGAACCATCCTAGACAAGGGCTTGTCTAATCTAGCCTTAAATACTTCATGAACAACCCTCACACCAACTACCAGTACCATAACTTGCCACAGGTGAAGCATGGGGACGAGGATACTGTTGATGTCTTGTGTCAGCAGGTGCAATGTGTCCTGCAGCTCTTCCTGAGAGCTGTTACCTGCTTCCTTTGTGCTCTCCTGCTACATCTTGATGCAAAACAAATAGAGGGGAAGCCAAGAATTTTAAAAAAAAACCTTTCCAGTTCACGAGTTCCTCAGGGCTCAGTTAATCCTTATTTACACCCCATTAATTTTATATGCATGCCTTTGATCAAAGGGCACCTTATTTATGGCTACTCACTCCAAGACTCCAGCATCAATCGCTTAGTCCTTGTACTTCCTTGATTGATGGATTTTTTCCATCAATCAATCAATTCTTATTTATGCATCATCAGTTACATATTCACTGTCCTCAGACTTAACAAATCAGTGAGGCTTCCCTGTTGGTACCCTCCAGCTGGCCCCACCATCGGCAGCCTGTCGGCTCCCCAGAGTCTCCGCCGCCGCGGGCTCCACAGCCACTCCCTGCAAAAAAAGGCTTATCCCACGTCCCAATCCCAGCACCAGTGGGTAGACAACTCTTTTCCACCAGTTACTCTTGCCAGCTTCCACTCCGACCACCTGAGGCTCATCACTGGGCCAGGACCCAGGTTCATCATGCTCCTGGACTTTCTCTGTGCCTCCGCACAGAAATATACTGCTCTCCTCCAGGAGACCGTGCACCCCCCTCTCCAGGGGTGTTGTGACTCAGCCCTCTTTCTTTTGGGCTTGCTGGGACTCCCAGGGCCCAAACAACCACGATTCCCCAGCCACTTGTGTGAGAGGGATGAAGGCAAGAAGGGGTTAAAGAAAAGTTTACTTTGCTAAAGCAGGGGCTAGAGCAGCCTGCATTGCCACTGGAGCAACCTCAGAAAGGAATTGAGGCACGCCCTGCCCCTTTTTCAAGAAGCAGCTCACATGCCTATAAGAAAAGGGGTCCACAGCTGAAAGGGGTCAAGAGTAGCAGTTCAAAAGGGAAAGAAAAAGAGAGAGACGGAGGAAGCCGGAAGCTCAGTGGATCCAGGTGCAGCGGAGGAGCTGGACTCGGAGCCCCGAGGGAGACAGAGCAGAAACCTCCTGAGGTCCCACAGGTCTGGTGAGAGCTCTGGAGTAGGAGCAAGAGGGCGGGTGAAGAGTTAATACAAGAGCACTAAAGCCTGTTACGAGATCCAGAAGCTAGAACAAAGCTGACAAGTCATGTCTATTTCTACCCCTTGCAGAAGGATGTAGAGCAGGACTCGCTCCATTGTCCTAGGATTCCAGGTGACTTGTAGCAGAAAGGCTGTCCGGGCACACCATGCACAATAACAGTAGGCTGCCAAAAGGGAACCTAGAAAATAGAGGTGCCCGTGCCCTGATGCATCGTATTGGCACAGATACAAAGAAAACTGAAATTATTGGCAATCGGCTTTTTGAGGCTGATGTGGCCAATAATTTTGCCAATAAATGCTGCGTGCATGTGCACAGCACACAGGCGGCCAGGAGTGCAGTCCAGCCCAGCAGCGTGGAGAGCAGCATCCGGCTGGTAAGTCTGTTATGGTGAAAGGGGCACGGGGGGGGCACTGCCCCATGCCCCCTGGACCAGCTGCTCAAAGCTCAGTCCCACGTCCTGCCCCAGCCCCAAACCCCACTCCCTACCTCACCACAGAAGCCTCAATCTGCCCCCCCACCCCTTCCCCCCCCCTCAACAGACTTACCAGCTGGACGCTGTTCTCCATGCTGCTGGGCGACATATCTTCCATCAGATTGGTATCAGCTGATACGGCTCGTTAAAAATTGACCATCAGTATTGGCACACCCTTAACTAGAAAAAAGTCAGTGTCTGAGCACCCTGCATGATTTTCCATGGCAGAAGTGCAGAGATTCACTTTTCCTGTGTTGCTGCTGCCTCCTAGTGAGTACTTTTTTAATGACCAAGATTATCTTTTGCTTTTCAGTACAGTGCTCCTCTACTTTTGCAGCAAGACCCTGGACTGGGAGCGAGTAAAAGTGATGCCAAATTCATTTGATTTTATTGGGGGAAGTTTTCCTCCTCCCACACCCTTTTGATACCATGGGCCAAGTTTTGTTCTTTGTTTTTCAGCTTGGTGGAGCGTCTCCCACTCCGGAGTCCTACATGAGTGTAAGTTGTGAATCCATTTGCGCTTGGTGAAGGAATTCCCCCACTGTAGTTGTCTGTATACAACTGAGCCAAGTTGCAGTTTTAGTGTAAACTCTGTTAGTTCTAGTTGCTTGAAGCATTGATCCAGATTTTAACCCTCTCAGAATAACTTCTGGACACACCCCTAGAAGTTTGCCAGCACCTTCTGCTTCAGCAGTAGTTGAATTAGCCTTGAAAAATGCAGACCTCTAAGAATAGTCAACACCTGGAAAGACTGCGTTATCCAACCGTGCAGTTTCTGCAGCCTGAGAGTAAAGTTTCCAAAGAGACTGCTGGTACATAGCTCAGAACAGGACTTGTCCTGTGATTATTTTGGACAGATACAGAGCTTTTCAGCTGTTTTTTCAAAGAGAATCTAGAGTAGCACTGTATTACTGGAACTTCCTCCCTTCCCAGTCTAAATCAATATATGCATAGCAGAGTTTTTGACAAATACATATGGCTAAAAACTTCATAATGGAAACGCTGGCTTATGATATTTGTGAGACCACTTTTGTTGTCATTTGGCAGCTGGGAGGCACTTGAATGTTTACATAACCCATCTTTTTCCTTTCCCTTTACCTGTAGTGTAGCGCTGCCTTTGGTTGGCACTCACAGGATGACGTAAGTCTTTGCATCTTAGTTTTGCTGTGAATGTTCTTGCGGTGAGAATATTTTAAGCTCTGAAAGGCCAGAACAAGAATTCCAGATCAAGACATGAGCTCTAGACAGCCCGGAGATAGGGAATCACGAGGAGTGGCTTCTCTTTGTCAAGACATTGGCCAAGAATACTGCCCACCATGCTGTCTGGCTGTTGAGCAGTTATTTTAGAAGCCAGTGATTTTCCTGTGGGACTTGTTCTGTAGTTCACTGGCAAGCCTGCCTGCAAGGTTTGAGGCTCCTTTTAGAAAGAAAGAGTTTAGGGGGCTGCGTTTCTGCACAGGAGTATCAGCAGTGTGCACAGTACCACTCAGCGGCGTGGAACAAGGCTCTTTCCCATCAGGATCTGAGCATTAACATCACTGACACTGCAATATTGATATATTCAGTAGTGCTTACTCTAGAGTGCAGGGCAGCGATCACTGCCATTGCAAGGCTCTGTGTGGTCTCTACAGGCGAGAGGCTCAAGAGCGTTAAATAACAGATCAAAAACATCAGGGTGCTTTCCGGGGTCTGCCAGAGTTCATCTGCAATCTTTTAGCTAAGCTGGGCTCCCCACTGGGAAAAGCAAGAGGCGAATGTGCTCTCAGCACTGTGTAAAACCAGCTTTCTTCTTTCCTCTCCCTACCAGCAGCCTGTGTGCAAGCCCATTACTGGAGGACTCCTTCCCCCCAAGTCCATTACGATCAGTGGGAAAGTTCCTTCTAACAGCGACAGGTAAAGCGGCAGGGGCAGGAGGGGGCTTGAAGGCTGCACTGCAGCTAGATTTCGATTTTGTGAGGCTCTGCAGAAGTGACAGATTGTCAGCCAAAGGTTTTCTCTCCACCAGCATGAAGTCATAGGTCTGTTTTCAAAGCTCTCTGCCCTGATGCTCCAGCCTGCAGGTCCTCTGACAAGCGCATATCTCCAGTTGACTCGGCTGCACAGATTCCATTTGAATCTGTTTCTTCTGGTGTTCCTCAGAGGCTGGTGCAACTTTTCTTCCTGTCCGCAGCACCCAAAAACACAGCCTAATTGGCTGATGATCTGGGGACCTGAACCACCATCGGTGGGCCGCACTGGAAATCTTTCTGTTAAACTCACTGAGAATCAATGCAGGTGTCTCCGCGTTCACTGCAAGCCATATTGTATCATTAGGAGCAGGTTTGTGCCTTTTGCTTGCAGTCTGCAGTGTTTTGACCCTGACTCCACAAGTATTACCCAGGATATTCCGCTCATTTCAGCGCGACTCAGTGTGATGGTTGGGGTCTTTCAGCCTGGAACCAGGGTATTTGCCCAAGCATTTTGCTGAGTGCTGCTGTAATCATCTAGGCATTCAACATATACAACTGCAGACAGTTACATGCTGCAGACAGGAAGAAAATAAGGCAAATAAGGCAAAGCTTCTTTGGGGAACTCAGTGAAGGAAGTGACATTGCAGCAGGTGAATTCATTCTTGGGATGCTACACTGGAACCAGAGAGCTGTGGGTTGCAAAGGGCACCACACCACTGCTGTGTCATATAGAGAAGCGCTGTGCACGTATAGGCAAAATTGTACCCACTTTATGGAACGAAAGCTAAGCTCCATTATGCATAAACACAGAACAAGAGGTGATCGCTTTTAAGCTCAGGCAGCTTTGAAGGACTGAGTCTTTGGACAGGTTTCGGACAAGTGCTTATTGTATTTTGCACCAGAAATGAACTGCAGGCATAAAAGGCAGCTAGCAGATATCTGACTGATTTGTAGTCGCACACAGGTAATCACAACCTAGTTGGAAGCCTATGGCTCCCACCTATAAAACAAAAGGGAGCTTCAGCAGCTCAGCGCAGCACAGTAGTATAACCGCCAAGAGGTGGCTAACCAAGCCAGCAGCAAGTGGTAGCTACAAGATTAGCCTAATTCTGTACTTTTCTAGAACATTACAATACCTCAGTCTGAACGGTGGACATTTTGGTGTAGTTGCGGTCTGATGCATGCAGTTCATCTCACTGGGATTTGTGTGCTTAGGTTCAACATTAACCTGAAGTCCGGCGATGACATTGCATTCCATCTGAACCCAAGGTTTGATGAGAACGTCATTGTCCGAAACTCGTTTCTGAATCAGACCTGGGGGACGGAGGAGCGTGATATGCCGGGCACAATGCCACTCGCACAGGGACAGGACTTCACTGTAAGCAGATCCCTTTTAAAACATGCCACCCGTTACACCCTCGGAGAACAATGATGACCTGTTGGCCTGTCAGTCCTTTATGTTAGCACTTTTTCATGTCCTTGTGCAAAGGTATTTAGCCAAATTCACAGATTCATTAGCATCTGACAGGACCCATGAGTGCTTCTGTTATGGCCTTGAACTTGCAACCTCTGGCCTATTAAAGGTGCACTGTAACTTATGCCCACTCCATCCCAGCCCCCACTCAGTGAGCAACAGCTCCAGAGCCATCCGTCACATACTGCTAGCTAGTGCTCACCTCAACCCCATGACAAGCTAGTCAGCGTTGCTCCCCCAGCTTAGAGAGGGGGAGAAAACCAAGATAGCAATGGGGCTTCCCTGGGCCTGTCTACACGCATGCTCAAGTATGCAGTAGCCTATTTAACTATGCATTACAACATCACATAAAAAACCATGCAGTGACGCTAATGCACATTAAAATAGGCTACTGTGCATTAAGCATAACTTTTTAAAAATGTGTGCTTTCAGTGCTGCACATTAGGGGAGCCTAATATGCATTCATTTAGTACCTCACATTGGAGGTACTAAGT